TACTCATTACCTCACTTATGTAACTGTAACCCTCTGTATAGTATCTTTACAATAAAAAAAAATTGCCACTTAAACTTATGATTCAAAATGTAATCTATGATTGATAAACTCAATTATCAACTGTTATAACCTTCAAGGCCACTGCATTATAAACTCAGTTTCTACTTACTGGTATTGTGGTTCTGAAAATGGTAAATCTTGAAAACAACTCCAAAAAGAAATACTTTTTTTTTTTAGTCAATTGTGGGGCTTGAACTCAGGGCCTGGGTGCTGTGCTTCAGCTCTTCAGCTCAAGGCCAGCACTCTACCACTCGAGCCACAGTGCCAATTCTGGTTTTCTGGGTGGTTTATTGGAAGTAAGAGTCTCATGGACTTTCCTGCCCGGGCTGGCTTTGAACCCTAATTCTCAGATCTTAGCCTCCTGAGTAGCTAGGATGATAGATGTGAGCCACCAACCCCCAGCTAAGAAATACTCTCTTTAGGGTCTGGGAAGGTGGCTCAGTGCCTTGCATGCATGAGGCCCTGGTTTTGATTCCTCAGGACCACATAAGTAGAAAAAGCTGGAAGTGGTGCTGTGGCTCAAGTGGTAGAGTGCTTGCCTTGAGCTGAAGGACAGCACCTAGGAGTTCAGGCCCCATGACCACAACAACAACAAAAAAAAAAAGAAAGAAAAAGAAAAAAGTAAGGCAAGAGGATCACAGGTTTGAGACCAGCCAGATCTACAAAAAAGGAAACAAAAAACTTCCTTGGGTTGAAGTACTCTAGGAAACTAAATGTTATTTGCCATTTCCTACTATATTAAGTTTGCCATCTATTTCTAGCTGTGTTCCCTTTTCAAATAATTTTGTATTTCATTATTTATTCTGATGCTTTGTATTTAAAACATGTTTCCTGTTGGAAAATTTGAGACTAAAAATGGATTCTAAATTTGGAAATCAGAGGCACTAGGTCAGCAGAAATGAGTAAACTTAAACTTTGTGCTCATTGACCATAAGAACCTAAAGATATGAAGCATGTTCAATTCCGAAGGCTGCAGAATTGATCCAAAAAGGACAAAGATTACCAGGAAAAATGGTGCTGATTATTTCAAGGTGAAGAACAATTTTCTTAACCTACTACTAAAAATATGTTCCTACCAATCTGGGCCTTTTGGTGGTAGTGGTTACAGTTCTGGGGTTTGAACTCAAAGCCACAGTACCACCATGTGTGTTTTCATGCTTATAATCTCAGAATTCAGGATGGTTGTCAATTCCAGGCTAGCCTGAGCATACAGTAAGCTTATCTTCAGCTCAAGGCTAGCACTCTACCACTTGAGCTACAGCACTACTTCCAGTTTTCTAGTGGTTTATTGGAGATAAGAGTCTCATGGACTTTCCTGCTCGGGAGGGCTTTGAACCGCGATCCTCAGATCTCAGCCTCCTGAGTAGCTAGGATTACAGGCGTGAGCCACCAGCACCCAACTTTTTTCTTTTTGAGAAGTTCTCACTATGTAGGTCAAGTTAGTGCCACTTTCTTTCTTTCTTCCTCAACGTCCTGAATGCTAGAATTACTGATGGGTGCCACTAGGTCCGGCTGTAATATTTAGTACTTAGTACTAGGCTCTTTATCATGTGCAACAAATGCATGGCAGTGAAGAATACGTAACTACTAGTACAGTGTAGTGTCATTTAACTGTGAACTCAATCAGAGAGACTCAATGTTCAACTGTGTATGTACAATTAAACCAGTAGTCACTTTCATATAGAGTTCATAGAGATGTGACAAAGCTGCACAATTGTATATTTGCCATCAACAGAAAGTTTCATAAATAAGTAGTCAAATCTAGATGTGATTATGCTATAGTGTGTATACAAAAATTTAAAAGTATTTTAACTATCTCAATGATAAACTTTGAGTTTAGATTACCTTTTGAACTTGAAATAATTATGTATCATCATTATATGAAAATCAAATTTCATCAAGAAAATAAATTATGTTTAAAAAGGAAAATTTTAATTATAGCAAAATATGAAAATAAGATTTTAAAAGAAAATTGAGATCTGAATGCAGTAGTTTAAAGGAATTGCTTTTGGAAAACATTTAGAAATCCATTAAAAGGATTTTGTTAAATTACAAACACCTATAAAGTGAATTTCAACATAGAAAAGGAAATGAGAAACATAAAAAAAAACAAAAGGGACTCATAATGAAGAGAAAACAAGTCAACATAAAGTTGTAATTTTGTAAAAGTGAGATAACTTTCCTAAGCTTTCCTTCCTATTACATTTAAGAAAGACTTACTAAATTTCACGAACAAATCAAATACCTTAAATGATTGATCCAAATGAAGATTCAAAAGAAGTCTTTTCCGGTTGTCATTTAGCATGCCATCAATCTTTTTCATATGAGGTAAAAGTAGTTCATCTGAAATAACATAAAATTTATTTTAATGGATAAACTAGCAACATAAATATTTATTAAAAACCCAACTAGGTTTTATGGTACTATGTGAGCAAAGGACTATTTAGTATGATGGGATGTACTTTGCAAGTCTTGAGTTTTAGATTGAACAGAATTAACTAAATCTATTTGGTTTTTCATCAAAGAAGAACCACTGGAGGGGCTAGGAAGGTGGCCCAGTGGTAGAGTGCTTGCCTTGCATGCATGAAGCCCTGGGTTCAATTCCTCAGCACCACATAAGCAGAGAAAAATGGAAGTGGTGCTGTGGCTCAAGTGGTAGAGCACTAGCTTTGAGCTGAAGAGCTGAGGGATAGCTCCAAGGCTCAGAGTGCAGGCCCCACGACCGACCAAAAAAACAAACAAACACCAAAAAACCCCCAAAGAACCAGTAGATAACAATGCCTCATTTATCATATGAATAATAATAGTATTATAAAACTACAAACCTGTCTAACATTATATATTTTTGAAAATTCTATGACCAAGAGAAGATATATTTTGGGGGCAGTGTTGGAGATTAAATATAGGACCTCATACACGGGAGTCAAACATTGACCTACATCCCTAGATACATCGCTAAGATATTCTTAGTTCATTGTTGTTAGACACAAAGAAAAAGTAGGGGAAGGATATATATCCACATCAGCCTGGACAGAAAAGTCTATGAAATTCCATTTCAATGAAAGAAGCTGGATTTAGTGGTACACATCTCTCATTCCAGTTACAATAAACTTTAGTCTAGGTGTGCATCCAAGCAGGAATTAAAACTATCCTAAAATAACCAGCACAAAAATAAGGGCTATGTTTAATAAAAACAATGGAATACAGAGAAAAAGAAAGACTAGAGGCATAGCTTAAGAGTAAGTAGAATGCCTGCCTAGTAACTGTGAAGTTCTTGAGTTCAAACCCCATCCCTCATCCCCAAAACCCCAATGTCAAAAAATGAGTCACAGGCGGGGAATGTGGCTTAGTGGTAGAGTGCTTGCCTAGCAAAGCATGAAGCCCTGGGTTCAATTCCTTAGTACCACATCAACAGAAAAAGCCAGAAGTGGCGCTGTGGCTCAAGCGGCAGAGTGCTAACCTTGAGCACAGAAAGGCTCGGGGACAGTGCGCAGGCCCTGAGTTCAATCTCTAGGACTCACCAAAGGGGGGGAAAAAAAAGAGTCACAATAGTTGTTTTAGAAAAGGGTTAAGAATAAAGCCGGGCACTGGTGGCTCACGCCTGTAATCCTAGCAACTCAGGAGGCTGAAATCTGAGGATCACAGTTCAAACTAGCCCAGGCAGGAACGTCCATGTGACTTTTCTCTCCAATTAACCACCAGAAAACTGAAAGTGGTTCTGTAACTCAACTGGTAGAGAGTACTGGTTGGGCTGAAGAGCTGAGGGACAGCACCCAGGTCCAGAGTTCAAACCCCAGAATCAACAAAAATTAAAAAAAAATTAAAAAGGGGGAGAATAAATGTGAGACAGATTCTACTTGAAACTTTTTATTACCTCTTTGAACTTCAACAGAGACAATTTTGAAATATGCCTACTCAGAATGGCCAATAAAACAACATACATTTTATGATGCAAGGAATTTTGGTTTAGAAAAAACTTTTGGTAGCAAAATTGCTGATGTGGGAAGATGAGTTAAAAAATTACTAGAGGTTGGAGGAATGGCACAAGGGGAAGAACGCCTACCTAGCAAGCATGTGGCCCTGAGCATCACCCAAATCCCCAGCATCACCCAAATCAATAAACAAACATACATTACTAATAGTAAAAAGAATATTATTTTTTGTTTGTTTTTTTGGGTCCGGTCATGGGGCCTAAACTCTGGGCCTGGGCGCTCTCCCTCAGCTCTTCAGCTCAAGGCTAGCACGCTACCACTTGAGCCATAGCACCACTTCCGGCTTTTTATAGTAAAAAGAATATTAAGCCATATAACCAATTTACTGTTCAGAGCCCCAAGTATGTGAATTAATTGCTCTACCACTGAGATACACTCTCAGTCTTTTAGATTGGTTTAATACCAACTGATTAGAAAATAATTTCTCTGCAAACTTTAGTAAAGACACAATTTTAATCTATACAAGTATTATCAGCCTCAACTTTACATTTATTGGAAAACATACTGTCATACAGTCTTTCCATGTTAAAACAGACAGTAAAATACTAATGAGGATGAAATAATTCTTTTTTTTTTGGGGGGGGGAGGTCTGGTTGTGGGGCCTGAACTCTGGGCCTGGGCGCTGTCCCTCAGCTCTTCAGCTCTAGGCTAGTGCTCTACCACTTGAGCCACAGTGCCACTTCCGGCTTTTTTCTTTTTGTTTATGTGGTACTGAGGAATCGAACCGAGGGTCTCAGGCATGCAAGGCAAGTGTTCTACCACTGAGTCACCTTTCCAGCAGGATGAAATAATTCTAGAATTGAGAGAAAGTAAATATAATTAATAAGCAACAAAAATACATTTAATATAAAGCTGTTATAATATTCAGACAATACATGATAAGCTATAGCCATTTCCAGAATTAAGACATGGGTATAACTCAGAGTTGTACACTCCACAAACTATAACATATAAAAACACATAGCTAGCAGGCAAGAAATTTTCAAAAAAGTCTGAAAGCACAGCACCAAGAAATACTAGTCAGCAGACTGTACCATTGCTCTTCTCTAAGGCTTGCATCGTGTCAGGATCCAGAGCAATGCTAACAAGCAATTCCATGTAACTCTTAAAAGTTTCCTTCATTGCTCTTGTGTTCAAAAACCGAGTGACAAAGGGAGCTGGAGGATCAAATTCTAGGATGGAGAAGAGATGAAATATTAAAATTTTCCTAACAACTTTAACTTTCTTTATACTAGAAGCCTAAAGGCAGATAGAAACTTTCAATGAAACTCCTTCCAATTCAAGGCTTCCTCAGAACACCCAGGTGAGAGACTCTTACAAGCTGGTTTGTGTATGTGTCATGAAAAAGCTTTGAAAAAAGCTAACAAAAGCCAGACTGCTAGACTTACTAAAACAGGATCTATGGTGGTGGTGGTAATGGAAGAGTGGTGTTAAAGTTTGAGTATTGTACTATTTAAAAGTTTCCTAGGTGATTTCTGAGGTCTAATACCAGTCTAGCATCTGAATAAACCCAGACCACAGAAAACTATTGCTAGTTCATGCCACTGTAGTTTTGATTGCTTCTCTATTTGTAGATAGTAAAGAAACCTTAAACTATGGGTCCATGTAGCCACCTCCCTCCCTTCTTATATACCGTACTTAAAATTCTGATCTACAGCAGATTTAAATTTTGTTTAACTTTGGAATCCTAACATTTATAAAACAGAAGAGGTAGAAAGATCAAAGTTCAAGGAAAACTTGACCCTGTTTCAAAATACCAAAACAACTAAAAAATGTGGCTGTGGCGTAAACATGCTACAGAATGTTACTCATAAAAGGTTTTAAGTTCTGCTACAAGCTACAATATAAACTTTGAAAACACGCTAAGTCAATGAAACTCAACACAAAAGGACACATATTCAACATACACAAGGCAAATTCATATAAAATAAAAGTGGTTACACAACTAGGAGAATAGGAGGGTAAAGGTTATTAATGTTTACGCACTTGCTACTGTGATTAAATTTTGGAAACAGGTACTGGTGATGACTGTATTACATTGCTTAAACTTGAAAATGATTAAAATGGCAAATATCAAGCATTATGTTTTAAATATGAAAATAAATGAAATGCATTTTTATAAGATGTCAATAATTAATTTACCACATGATCAATGAATGCTATGACATTTGTTGACATGACATTCACACATGAATAAAAGATACATTCAGCGGGGTGCTGGCGGCTCACACCTATAATCCTAGCTGATCAGGAGGCTGAGATCTGAGGATCATGGTTCAGAGGCAGACTGTGCAGCCAAGTCTGTGAAATTCTTTTGTAGCTTTTTGCCCCCCAGGGCTGAGGACCAAACCCAGGGCCTTGCACGCGCCGGGTGGGTGCCCTTCCGCTGGGCTAAACCACAGCCCCAGTCTGTGAAATTCTTATGTCCAATTAACTACCAGAAAATTTTAAGTGGAGCTGTGGCTCTAAGTGGAAGAGCACTAGCCTTGAGCAAAAAAGGGACAATGCGCAGGCCCTAAGTTCAGGCCCCCACAATCAAACAATGACAACAGAAAGATACATTTTGAGGGCAAACAAGCCCGGAGATTTTAACATACATACTCTTTACCTTCCCAACTTCATTGCTATGAAATGCTATGTTTTCCTTATATACTTTAACCAAACACATGTCACAACAAATTAAAGATGGAGTACATGTGAAAATGACATTCAGGCCAGGCACTGGTGGCTCACCCTATAATCCTAACTACTTAGGAAGTGGAGATCTGAGGATCATGGTTCAAAGCCAGCCTGGGCAGAAAAGTCCAATAAACCACCAGAAAATTGGAAGTGGCGCTGTGGCTCAAGTGGTAAGCGCTTGTCTTGAGCTGAAGAGCTGAGGGACAGTGCCCAGACCCAGAGTTCAAGCCCCACAACAGAAAGAAAAAAAAAAAAAGACATTTAACATATACCACATATACAGGTAAAGCTGGAAGTGGTGCTGTGGCTCAAGTAGCAGAGTGCTAGCCTTGAGCTGAAGAGCTCAGGGACAAAACAAAAAACACACACACGAACACAAGAAATTTGAAAGTCAACATCATATAAATCTACTATTATAACCAGGCGCTGGTGGCTCATGCTTGTAATCCTAGCTACTCAAGAGGCTGAGATCTAAGGATTGTGATTCAAAGCCAGCCTGGGGAAGGAAAGTCTGTGAGACTCTCTTTCCTGCCCGGGCTGGCTTTGAACCACGATCCTCAGGCATGAGCCACCTGCGCTCAGCTACAAATAGCTCTATGAGCCTCTTATCATCAATTAACTACCAGAAAACTGGAAAGTGGTTCTGTGGCTCAAGTGGTACAGCACTCCCCTTGAGCTGAAGAGCTCAGGGACAGTGCCCAGGCCCAGAGTTCAAGCCCCACGACGGACAAAAATATTTTTTACTATTACAGATATATGACTTCTTTAAAGTATTAAGAAAGCCAGGTGCCAGTGGCTCACACCTGTAGGATCCTAGTAGCTAGGATGAGCTACTTAAGTGGCTAAAAATCTGAAGAAGCCAGCATGGACGGAAAGTCTGTGATCTCCAATTAAACACACACACATACACAGAGCTAGACACAGAGAGAGAGAGAGAGAGAGAGAGAGAGAGAGAGAGAGAGAGAGAGAGGAGTGGAGATCAAGTGGTAGAGTGTTATACCTTGAGCCAAGAAGCTCAGGGAGCCTGGTAGAGTTCAAGCCCCAGTAGTAGCACCAAAAAACCCACAAAAATTCCACTAAGAATGTGTGTTTAAATACTAGCGACACCTAGTGGCCACTTACTTTATCAATGCAAGGAAATTTTAGCTTGTCTTTTGAAGAAATTATGTAAAGCCTGGTGCAGGTGACTCATGCCTGTAACCACATCTATGTGAGGTTTGAAGCCAGCCCTGGCAGGAAAGTCCATGAGACTCTTATCTCCAATAAACTACTCAAAAAAGCTGGAAGTGGCAGTGGCAGAAATAGTAGAGTGCTAGCCTTAAGAAAAAAAAGTTCAGGGGCTGGGAACGTGGCTCAGTGGTAGAATGCTTGCCTTCCATAAATGAGGCCCTGGGTTCGATTCCTCAGTGCCACATAAGCAAAAAGAAAAAAGCCGGAAGTGGCTCCGTGGCTCAAGTGGTAGAGTGCTAGCCTTGAGCTGAGGGACAGCGCCCAGGTCCAGAGTTCAGGCACCACGACCGGACCCCCCTCCAAAAAAAAAAAAAAAAAGTTCAGAGACAGTGCCCAGGCCCAGAGTTCAGGTGCCAGGACTGGCAAGAAAAAAAAAAAAAGCCATAATTACAAATTCAGAACCCAAACTCCTCTATTCTAGTAAGTAGACAGGACTACTAACTAGAAAAAAATCACATAAATGCTTTTATGCAAATCACTGAGATTCCTTATGAATTTTTATGTGTATACTTGTAAATAACCTTTCACAAATAGTTTTTTTTGTTGGTCATGGGCTTGAACACAGCGCCACTTCTGGTTTTCTGGTGGTTTACTGGAGATAAGAGTCTCATGGACTTTCCTGCCCTGGCTAGCTTCGAACCGTGATCCTCAGGCATGAGCCACCTGTGCTCGGCCACAAATAGCTTTTTAGTGGGGCTGGGAGAGGTGGGAAGAACAATGGAAGGGATGATAATATTGATCAGGACGGCACTGTACCCATCAGCTGATATATTGAATCAAAACTCATTTGGATAACTACTTAAAAGAGAAAAACAAAAATACAAATAGTTTTTCTAAAACAATACATTCAAGATAGACTTCAGAGCCAGGCGCTGGTGGCTCACGCCTGTAACCCTAGCTACTCAGGAGGCTGAGATCTGAGGATCGCAGTTCAAAGCCAGCCCGGGCAGGAGAGACCGTGAGACTCCTATCTCCAATAAACCACCAGAAAACCGGAAGTGGCGCTGTAGCTCAAGTGGTAGAGCACTCGCCTTGAGCTGAAGAGCTGAGGGACAGTGCCCAAGCCCAGAGTTCAAGCCCCACGACCGACAAAAAAAAAAAAAAAAGACAGACTTCAGCACTGAAGCTTATTTATTATAGTTCTATTTCTAATCTCTAACATCATCTCTCAAGCAGTGATAGGTGGAATTCATCAACCATCCTTGGTATCAACTACAACTACTTCTTCCACAATTAATTAATATTTAAATTCCATCAAGACTACTCAAATCTGCCCCACATCCTTCACCTCTGTTGCCACTGAATGATCCTATTTATACCTGCAATTCTCTCTTAAAACTAAAATTCAAATTTCACCATGTGGCTACTCCAAGGACTCTCTGTTGCTGAAAGGAATCCCAACCTTTTCAGCTGTAGTCACATTCATGGCCTTCCATCATCCCTTCATCTTTTATTTGTACCTTCAGTTTATACTTTAGAAGAACAATAGTGAATACTTTCTGTGAAGAACAGTACGGTAAAGTATTTTAGGGTTTGTCAGGTCACACTGCCTTGTAGCAACTACTCAAATTTGCCACTATAGTGAGAAATTAACTATGGAAATGTGTCCATTTCCAAACAGTATTTGCAGAGCCACGTCCCAACAAAATTATTTACAATAAGTGGCCAATATTCAGATTTTGTCTGCAGGCCAGTTTGCAATCTCTGTCCTGTGCTAAATGGCTTGAAATTTCTTGCATATATCACACACCTTGATAGCTGATGGATTGAATGTTATATATTCTTGCCTCATGCAATTATCTGTTTTAATTTCTAATACAGTAAATATAAACAGATAAAGTACTCTTCAGGCTCTACAGATAAAGTACTCTTCCGGTTCTTAACAATTTTTAAGAGTGAAATAGCACTTTCAAAAAGTTTTGATTAATTGCTGATCTATTTCTACCTCATTTTATTAAAAATGGGGTTGTCTAACTTAGTCATGGGTTCATGGTTGGTAGCAGACAGTAGTATGTATGTAAATCCTGATTTTCCTATTTTACAAGGATGATTTTATGGCCCAACCATTCCTCAGTAGATGTGCTGTTTTCACAAAAGCATAGTACAACTAAGAGAGAAATCCAGCAGAAAAGCGCATCAATTCTGAACTGGCACCACCATTGACCATCTCCATTCACGTAGCCTGTCAGAGGTGTTGGTTTCAGGGAAAACTCACCCCCGTCATCACTACTGCTAGAATGGACCTCAGGAGACGAGTCAGATTGCGAGGATGAAAACTCTTCTTTCCATTTCTTCCGTTTCTTTGGTGGTGGCTCAGCTTTTATTTTTAGCTGTTTAACTTTGGGTTTCATGGAAGGAGCTTTTGAAGTTGTAGTCATTTTTGATGTTGGAGGATCCGAAGTTTTATTGCTATTACATGGCTTGGCCTGAACAGTTCTGCAATGTTACAAGCAAATTTAATTAAGACATTTAAATCTTGTAAGATTAAAACAAATTAGAAAAAAAATATAACCATGGAGATTATTATTTAAATATCCTAACCAACACTCTCAAAATAAGCCCAAATCCTACTTAATTTCAATAGTGATTCCCATAAAGTTTTCTTAAAATACATCCTTTAACTACTGGCAATCAATGTTCAGTTATTAACAGGATAATAGTTCAATTCCCATTTCTGTCTTCACTTTTCCTTTCTTTCTGGACTCATTTTCCAGAAAATAAGAAGCTTATCAGAGGCTTTGAGAAGTCCTGCATGAAAAACTGTTGACAAACAAATCTAGCTGTGGCTGCCAGAAACTTACAAGCTCTGGTAGTATTAGGTTTTAACATGCAAATCCAAATACATCTTAATGAGAGTCTCAAAAGATTTGTTCTATACTGGGTCTAGAAATTTAAATGGTTAAATTCCATCAACAAAAACTATGTGAGAGGGGCTGGAAAGGTGGCTCAGTGGTAGAGCATGCATGCCTTGCATGCATGAGGCCCTGGGTTCAATTCCTCAGCACCACATAAGCAAAAAGAAAAAAAGCCGGCTCAAGTGGTAGAGCGCTAGCCTTGAGCTGAAGAGCTGAGGAACAGCGCCCAGGCCCAGAGTTCAGGCCCCATGACTGGACCAAAAAAAAACAAAAACAAAACTATGTGAGAAATTCCAATTCATGTGAATCCTAATTATATTAGACCTGAGTGGCAGAAGACTGAAAATATTCTCATCACAGAGTCAGATCGGTTATCTTCCCAGATTTATGCTACAACAACCCAGGCTCATACAATCAAAGGCAACTATACACTTTTCTAGTAATACATGGGTTTCATGGTTTTATGTTTAAATTATCTCTAGCCAGGTGGCAGACACTTGTAAGTCTAGCTACTAAGGAGGCTGAGATCTGAGGGCTGTAGTTCAAAGCAAGCCCAGGAAGGATAGTCTGTGAGATTCTTATTTCCAGTTAACTGCCAAAAACAGCTAGAAGTAGTATGAGAACTAGCCTTGAGCAAAAAAACGCAGAAACAGCACCCAGGCAGAATTCAAACCCCAAGATTGGCACACGCTAGCACATGCGTGCGTGCATACGCACACATCCGCTCACGCACACACGCGCACATGCGCGCGCGCACGCGCACGCACACACACACACACACCTCTAAAGGATTTCATAAGGTAATCTGAAGGATTACATAAGGCAGGATTTCAAAGGTGTAACTCCTCTGAGCAACAAATGTACTGTTTATCAAAATGAATGCCAGGATGTAGAAACATATTTTTGGGAGTAGGAAAAGGGAGGAGGGCACAGGAATGGAGGGAGGAGGGGGTGAGCTAATGCGATAACTTTAAATTAAATTAGGTCACTCTTTCTTTCTTGTTTTTAAAGTCAGTAGAGGGCCTAGGAGCTGTCCCTCAGCTCTTCAGTTCAAGGCTAGCGTTCTACCACTTGAGCCACAGCACCACTTGCGGTTTTCTGAGTGGTTTATTGGAGATAAGAGTCTCCTGGACTTTCCTGCCCTAGCTGGCTTTGAACCGAGATCCTCAGATCTCAGCCTCTTGAGTAGCTAGGATTATAGGTGTGAGCCACCAGCTCCTGGCTGAGTTCTTTTGCTCAAATTAATACTCTATCTACCATTTGAGTCACAGTGTCAGGTCTGGTTTTCTGGTGGCTAACTGGAGAGTCTCAGGGACTTCCTATCCAGATTGGCCCTGAACCTCCATCCTCAGATCTCAGCCTCCTGAGTAGCTAAGATTATAGGCATGAGCCTTCAGTGCCCAACTCACTACTCCAATATTTTTTAGAGTTCTGTAAAAATAAGAGCTTATGGGCTGGGAAGGTGGCTCAGTGGTAGAGCACTTGCCTTGCATGCCTGAGGCCCTGGGTTCGATTCCTCAGCACCACATAAGCAAAAAGAAAAAAGCCGGAAGTGATGCTGTGGCTCAAGTGGTAGAGCGCTAGCCTTGAGCTGAAGAGCTGAGGGATAGCACCCAGGCCCACGACCGGCCCCCCCCCCAAAAAAAATAAGAGCTTATTTTTTTCTCTTCTGTACACAATATATTTATAAATCTTAGTGTACTTTTGAAAAATGTACATAGATAATATTTGAAAACATGAGGAATAATGAAAAGAATGATGGGGAGGGATGACACCAATTAAAAGCACCACAGTCAACATTTCTTATGGGATTATAACCTCTTTGTGCAACTACTTAATGATAATAAAAAAAATTCTTATTGTAAACTTGACATACTCTTACTATTTTCACTTTATAGGTAGAAAAAAAAGGCCTCAGAAAAGTTTGTCTTCTCTATCACAAAAAGGTAGACTCAAATCATTTCTCTCTAAATTATTTTTCCCATAACAGATAGCCATGAGCTTTACAAGTTCATTTGTTCATAATACAAACAAATCAATCTATTCAGTACATATATTCTTTTGTACAATGACATTGAAATATGTCTATAAATTATATAAGAAAACTAATATGCAAAGGGGAGGCACAGAAAGGAATGGAGGGAGGGTGAACAATCATGGCATTCAATATGGACTATGTGAAAAATGAACTATACAACTTGTGGGCAGGGACAGGAGGGGGAAACTGAAGGAACGCAAAGAAAAGGGTGACACTGTCCAAAAGGGAAACACACTCACTACCTGAATTGTGACATGGTGATCCCTCTGTACAACACCTTAATCGTAACAGAATTATATTAAAACAAAACAAATACCTGATAGTTTGTGAAGGCTTACTTCTTGGCTTTTTAGAACATACTCTGACATATTCTTTTTTGTTTGCATTTTCAATGAACTTCACATATATCCTTTTGTATTTAGTCTTTGCATCTCCAAAATATCCAAGGTACTAAGGAAAGAAACATCATGAATTACATTATATAATTATTGGAGTTATATGTTATATAATCAACAGTTATATACATAATTATTGAAGTGCTGGGAACCACACCCAGAGCCTTGCAGATGATAAGCAGATGTTCTATCACTGAGCTATATCTTCAGTCCTCTATGTTCATACTTGGGTTTGTTTTTTCTTTGTCAATCCTGGGGCTTGAACTCAGGGCCTGAGCACTGTCCCTGAGCTTCTTTTTGCTTAAGGCTAGCACCTTACCATTTGAGCCCTAGCACCATGTCTGCCCTTTTCTGTTTATGTGGTGCTGAAGAATCAAACCCAGGATTTTGTGCATGCTAGGCAAGAACTCTACCACTGAGCCACATTCCCAGCCCTCTATGTTCATTCTTTTTTTTTTTTTTTGGTCAGGTATGTGGCCTAAGCTCTGGACCTGGTGCTGTCCCTGAACTCTTCAGCTCAAGGCTAGTGCCCTACCACTTGAGCCACAGTGCCACTTCCGGCTTTTTCTGCTTATATGGTACTGAGGAATCGAACTTAGGGCCTCATGCATGCAAGGCAAGCACTCTACCACTGAGCCACCTTCCCAGCCCTCTACTGGTTACAGAAGTAGTGCATGGGCTGGGAAGGTGGCTCAGTGGTAGAGTGCTTGCCTTGCATGCAAGAGGCCCTGTGTTCAATTCCTCAGCACCACATAAGCAGAAAAAATAAAGTAGTGTTACCTAGCAGATTCTAATATAAAGCTACTAAACAGCTATATAAAAATAAAAGATTATCAGTCTTCTGATATACCAGGGCATTTGTTAGAATAACTAATATGAAAGCATCTAAGTCCATCTATAATTTTGAGACTAACAGTAGTCCCTTTCATATATATGTATATGTAGTTAAGCAACAATATGAAGTCATTTACATTTTACATAGTGGGATTTATTTGCTGTTACATCACATTATCAGCATCACATACTTTATGTCAAATTTTATGCTATTTTAAGTCTAAACATTCAGTACAAAATGTATTAAAATCCAAATAGTTCTTTATTTTCCCCAGGTTCAGTGAGAAAACATAGAAAGGATAATTAAAACAAGCATTTTGGGGCTGTGGACACAACTCGATTGGTGCCTAACAAGCAAAGGCCCTCAGTTCAAACCACAGTATCACCAAAGCAAAAAAAAAACATTTTACTTACACTATTTGTAGCAGCAAATTCTCTTTGACCATCTCGAATTTCGGGAACAAATTTCTGCAATAAAGCTTTTTGTACTTTCCAAATAGCTGGAGGTTCTTTTCCTATCTTTAAAGCTTCCTGTAATAAGTAAAATTAATTATATTTATAAAAAGTATTAACATATTTTATACTTATTGAATATCTATCTTACACATATAACTTTTAAAAAATAATATTGTATACATTTTTTAAATTTTATTTTATTTTTGCCAGTCCTAGGGCGTGAATTCAGGGCCTGGGCACTGTCCTTGAGCCTCTTTTGCTTAAGGCTAGCACTCTACCACTTGAGCCACAGCACTACTTCCTTAAAGCTGTAATTTTAAAGACATACCTAGCTATCTCTTTCTCTGGTTGAGTTTTCTGCAATACGTGTGTGTATATATAATTCCCTCTCACACCCCACTGTAGTCTTGGAGATCAAGCCCAAATCTTACAAGCTATTTAAGTGCTGTACCCCTCTCATACCAATATATTTTTTTTTTTGGTTGGTTGTGGGGCTTGAACTCTGGGCTTGGGCGCTGTCCCTCTGCTCTTCAGCTCAAGGCAAGCACTCTACCACTTGAGCCATAGCGCCATATCTGGCTTTCTAGTAGTTTATTGGAGATAAGAGTCCCATAGACTTTCCTGCCCGGGCTGGCTTTGAACCGAGATCCTCTTAGATCTTAGCCTCCTGAGTAGCTACGATTACAGGCGTGAGCCAATGGCACCTGGCCCAATAATTCTTTATAAGCTAGTTAGGTTTATTCAGTCTCTGCATATTTCTTGCATAATACCAAGTTCTAAGTCCTATAGTATGACTAAAACTATTGGAAAGTCTTCTCCTTTGTCATATATTATTTATACAACTTTTAAGAGTGTAAACCAGGGCTGGGAAGGTGGCTCAGTGGTAGAGTGCTTGCCTTGCATGCATGAGGCCCTGGGTTCGATTGCTTAGCACCACATAAGTAAAAAGAACAAAGCCGGAAGTGGTGCTGTGGCTCAAGTGGTAGAGCACTAGCCTTGAGCTGAAGAGCTGAGGGACAGCACCCAGGCCCAGAGTTCAGGCCCCATGACCGGACCAAAAAAAAACAAAAACAAAAAAAGGTGTAAACCAGAAGTGGAGCTGTAGCTCAAAGTGGTAGAGCACTAGCCTTGAGCAAGAACACTCAGGAGGGTAGGAGTGGGGAGATGGGAAGGGTTAGGAAGGGGAAACAAAGGAGGAGGCAACAATGCTTCATAAGAAATGTACACATTATCTTGCCCATGTAATTGTAACTCCTTTGCATGGTATTTTCACAATTAAAAAAAAAAAAAAAAAGAACACTCAGGAACAGAAACCAGGCCCTGAGTTCGAGCCCTACAACTGACAAAACAAAACCAAAACTGAAAATATACTAGGCATTCATACACAGTGAGACCAAAAGAGGGTACTCTTAGTAGAGGAACAGAAAGGCACAATGCCTATGTGCATCTGATCATACAAAATAATATTTATGAAATGATCTCCAGGAAATGAAAACAAGAGTTTTTTTTTCTTTTTTGCTGCTTTTGTTTTTCTTTCTTTTTCTTCCATTTGTTCATTTATATGTCTTTGGGAGTAAAAGGGAGGCACAGAAATGGAGGGATAAAGGGTAACAAATGCAGCAATGGTACTCACAGGACACTATGTTGAACATGAACTATGTAAGTTATAGGTGGGAATGAAGAGGAAAAACTGGGAGACAGCAAGCAAAAGGGTGACACTGTCCAAAGGGTGACATTGTACTTTTTACCCGGCTCTTGTAACTATAACCCCTTTGTATATCACCTTTATAATAACAATAAAAATTCAAAAATAAAAAATCTGAGAATATATTATCTTCAACAAGGCCGAATTACATTGTTAAGTTATACTTCTGATATTTTTATTAAACTTGTTTTGGGGGAGTGTTAAACTCAGGGACTCATGCATGCTAGGCAGGGGCTCTACCACTGGAGCTACTCTGCCAGTTCCACTTTTTGTGGTGATTAGTCTTTTTTTCTTTTTCTTTTTTCTCCATTGTGGTTCTTGAACTCTGAGCCTGGATGCTGTCCCTCAGCTCTTCAGCGCAAGGCTAGGACTCTAGGGCCTCTTCAGGTTTTCTAGTGGTTAACTGGAGATAAAAGTCTCACAGACTTTCCTTCTGGGGCTGATTTGAACTGTGATCCTCAGATCTTAGCCTTCTGAATTGCTAGGATTACAGGTGTGAGCTACCAGCAACCGGCTATATTCATTATATCTTGCTTAACCCCAAAGATGGCCTGGCCTGAGAGTCTCCTATTTATGCTTACCTTCCCTGCATTGATGAGATGACAGGTCCAAATCACAATACCTACACACTGGTGGAGAAGAGTCTTGTGCATTTATTTTTGGCCTGGGCTGGCTTCAAAGTGCAATCCTGTGATTTCCAATCTCCTAAGTAACTAGGATTATGAGCTTGAACCATTGCTCAGGCTCTTTAAATTTAAACTATAGAAAGAGCTAAAAACTCCTCTAATAGAAGCTTGGGAAAAAAAAAATTCTAAAACCAATACAGCTAAAGTATCAAATACAAATAACTACTCAGAAATACATAAAATCAAGAGTTAAAATTATCTTCTAGTTTCCTTTTCCTAAATAATGACAGCTAGGTGCTGGTGGCTCATACCTACAATTCTAGTTACTGAGGAAGCTGAGACCTGGTTCAAGGCAGAAAAGTCTGCAAAACCACCCCTAATTAACCAGCAAAATGCTGAACTGGAAGTAGGACTCAAGTGGTAGAGGGCCAGTTGTGATTGAAAAAGCCTAGCAAAAATGTCAAGCCCCTTAGTTCAAGCCCCAGTACTGGCTCAATCAGTCAATTAACCAAATATCAGAAATTGGCTGAGCATGATGGTACATGCCTGTAATCTCAGCATTTGGGAAGCTAAGGCAGGAAGATCTGGAGTTGGAGGGCAGCCTAGCCTGGGCTACATAACATGTTTAATTAAGGACAGCCTAGGGTGGATAATGAGACATTTAAAAAAATCTGTCTTATTAAATACTTATAATAACTCTCTATAAAGGAGAACAGCATGCCTTGAAGTCACCATGATATCTACCACAGGCACTAAATTAAGATTTTCATACCAGTAAACAGTAACATCACCTTAAATGTCTCTATGTCTTCTATCTTTACCACAAATTCATCACGCTCTCTATATTGGCCTTCTCCTCCACTTTCTGTGTTCTCCTCATCTGTAAAACCTTCTATGGCAACAGTGTCCTGTCCTTTCGCAAACTGGTCTGAAGGAAGACCATCAAGTTCAGGCTTTGGGGGTTCGGTGCAGTTTATATTTTCCAGGATGTTTGTTGCAGATGAAGTAGAGTGAAGTTCTTGCTTAGCTGCACCAACAGTGGTGGAGGAAACAGCAGCAGTACTAGTAGTACTGGTAGATGGGCTACGAGTTGCCACTGGTAGGGCATCTGAAACTAAAACACACACAAATTCAGAAATAAAAATATTTAACCATTACAGGTTTCCCATAGATCTAAAGAGTTTAGACTTGATTATTTTGCAGTCAATTGATTAAAATGATACCCACAAAGGAAAAGAATGGTTAATAATCCAAGAATCAAAGATATGCAAATTAAATCTGGATGGCAGTAAGACTGAACATCTTAGATGGAAACCTGCATCTATGTACTTATCGTTTCCCCAAGCTTTACTTTAAGTAAATCAAAGATAACTTGAAAAAAATAGGGACACATAAAAGAAGATAAGGGTTTACTAACCAAGCCAAATAAAGAAGAAAGGTTAATAAAACGTGGGGAAAAATATAATTTGAAATAGCACTAGTAAGCTGTTAAAATAAAAAGATCATAAAGTAATATTATGGAAAACTGTCAACGAACTTACTTGAATGTCAATGGACAAATTCCTAGAAATGTATAAGCTACTAAAGACTCAGTAGAAATAGAAAATCAAAACAGACTAATATCAAATAAAGAGAATTAGGTAGTTAAAAGCATCCTACAAATGGGCTGGGAAGGTGGCTCAGTGGTAGAGCGCTTGCCTTGCATGCATGAGGCCCTGGGTTTGATTCCTCAGCACCACATATGCAAAAAGAAAAAAGCCGGAAGTGGCGCTGTGGCCAAGTGGTAGAGCGCTAACCTTGAGCTGAAGAGCTGAGGGACAGTGCCCAGGCCCAGAGTTCAGGCCCTACAACCAGACCCAAAAAAAAAAAAAAGCATCCTACAAAGAAATAACAAGCACAGGCTCAAATAGCTTTACTGCTAAGTCTATCAAGAATTAAAAAAGAATTAATACTAATCCTTCATAAACTTTAAATATTATGAGCAAATACTTTCCAACTCATTCTATTAGGGCAGAATTATTATAATACCAAATCAAGCAAAAATATTATAAGAATACTATAGACCAATATCCAATCTGATATAAAAATCTTCAACAACATACAAGCAAATCCAATAACAGAGTCTAGCAAAATGAGGCCCTGATTTTAATCTTCAGAACAAGAACAAAAACCCAAAAAACATACAATTATGAACAAGTAGGATTTGTCTTAAGAATGTAAAGTTGGTTAATACCTGAACATCAGTTCTTGCAATATACTATGTCAACACAATGAAGAACAAAATATAAAATCATCTAACTGCTATAAAAAAAAAGCACTGGAAAAATTATATACAAAACATCCAGTAACCTAAAAATAGAAAGTCTCCTTGGGCTTGATAAGGGATATATAGAAAAAACCCATAGTTAACATCATACTTAGTGAGGAAAAACTGGATGTTTTTCCCTAAGGATATCTATGAATTATCCTTCATTTTAGAATCTTGTCTATAAAATCCTAAGAAACTTGCTAAAAGCTCTTTAGAATTAATAAATGAAGATATTAAGATTGCAGAGTACAAAACTCAAGTGTATTTCTAAAAACTGTAATGAGCAAATCTAAAAATGAAATTAGTAAAACAATTTCATTTACAGTAGTGCTGAAACTAATGTAATATTTAGGAATATATTTATATCACAAAATTTGCACTGAAAACTTTTCAAAGACATTTAAAGAAGTCAAAGGTGGTCAGACACACCTGGCGCTATTTGCTTATAACCTACGTAGGAGGTAGTGGCAGAAGGGTACTTAGTTTAAAGTCACTGTAGACAAAGTTAGCCAAGACGTTATTTCTAATGAAAAAGCAACAGGCTGGAGGCACAGTTCAAGTGGAATGAAGGCAAGTGTGAGCACTGAGTTCAGCCCTAATACCATGAATGAATGAACAAATAGTCCATGACCATAGATCCCACGATTCAAAATTGTGAATGGCAACAGTACCCAAACTTAGCTCAATCTTGTAATTTTTTTTTTTGGTCAGTCCTGGGGCCTGAACTCTGGGCTTGGGCATTGTCCCTCAGCTCTTTAGCTCAAGGCTAGTGTTTTACCACTTGGAGCCACAGCCCCACTTCTGGCCTTTTCTGCCTATGTAGTGGTGAGGAATCCAACCCAGGGCCTCATGCATGCAAGGCAAGCACTCTACCACTGAGCCACCTTCCCATTCTTATAGTAATTTTTTACAAGTGCATTTCCCCCATTATGTGACACACAGATCTTAAAATCCTCATCAAAGTGAAAAAGACCTAGAACCAAACAATCTTGAAAACAGAAAAACATTTCACAATTTTAAAGCTTACTATATAACACAAGACAGTAAGATTAATATACTCTCATAATCATAGATCAATGATGCAGAAAGCCCTCCACCAATATTTACGACCAAAAGATTTTCAAAGGTACCAAAATCAGTTAAGTAGGGAAAGAATACTTTTTAAAACATAGTGCATGAGACGACAAAAAAAAAGAATGAAATTGTATTTTATCCTTGCACTTTATGCAAAATTAATTCATGTATTTATTAGAGATTTGTGTTCAGAATAAGTATAGAACTCTTGTGTCACCATACCAAAGACTTATAACCAATTTTAAAATTGAGCAAAGGCCAGGTGTGGTAGCTCAAGTCTGTAATCTCAGCACTTAGGAGGCTATGATAGGAGGATCATTAGTCTACAGCCAGCCTGGCTACATAGCAAGACCTTGTCTAAGAAAACAAAGAGCCAAAACACAATGTCATCTTCACCAACAGCAGAAAAAAATAAAAATTAAAAAAAAAACACCAAAAAAAGGTCAAAAGAACGTGAACAGAAATTTCCAAATATATTAAAATGAACTATAAACACCAAGAAAGGCCACTCAAAATTAATCATAAGTGCAAATCAGAAATACAACTTCAAACCCATTACAGTAGCATTAATTAATCATATAGACAGTGACAAGTGACACAAAAATACGGAGTAACTGGAACTTTATACAGGATAGCCACTACTTGGCTATTTTCCCATAAAACATGAGATATTATACAGCAATCTCATGTTACTCTAAATAATACAAATAAAATAAAAATAGTAGGATATGCATTTGTTCATAGGCTGTAAAAACTGTTCCCTAAAAAAAAGTAAATTCTACTTTCCAAGAGTGATTGAAGAGCTGAGCTAGAATCAAATCAGAGTTCACCAGGGAAAAATAATGAGTGAGAACACAGGCCCAGAAGGAAGGAAGAAAGGAAGAAAAGAAGGAAGGAAGGAAGAAAGGAAGGAAAGAAAGAAGGAAGAGAGGAAGGAAGGAAGGAAGGGAAGGAGGGAGGGAGGGAGGGAGGGTGGGAGGGAGGGAGGGAGGGAGGGAGGGAGGGAGGGAGGGAGGGAGAGTGGGAGGGAGGAAGGAGCAGAGCTAAAAAAAAAAGAAAAGAAAAAATAGAAATAGGAGAGAGCAAAGGAAATGTTCCTGTACCAAGATTAAAACAAGACTCATACATTTTTGATTCTCTTTAATCAAAGAGAAAGGACAGTTGAGAAAACAGAGTAATTACCTTCAAAGCTCATACTTCAGAATTTTATTCTCATGTAATACATTTTATACTACTATTTTTCTGCCACAAAAATATGCATAGAAATGGTAGTTGGCATATCTTAAACAACAGGTTCTTTATATTACCTAACCCTAACATTAATACATAATTGGGTTTTGTTTTTGGTGCCAGTCCTGGGGCTTGAACTCAGGGCCTGGGCGCCTGGTTACTGAGCTTTTTTTTAATTTTGTGTGTGTGGGGGGGGGGGGGGTCATGGGGCTTGAAGTCTAGGCCTGGGCTCTGTCCCTCAGCTCTTCAGCAAGGTGAGTGTTCCCACTTGAGCCACAGCACCACTTCTGGTTTTCTGGTGGTTTACTGAAGAGTCTCATGGACTTTCCTGCCAGGGCTGGCTTTGAACTGTGACCCTCAGATCTCAGCCTCCTGAGTAGCTAGGATTATAGGTGTGAGTCACTCAGGAAGCTTGGCTTCCTGAGCTTTTTTTTGATCCAGGCTAACACTACCACTTGAGCCAGAGAGCGTCACTTCTGGCTTTTCTGGTAAATAATAAGAGATAAGATTTTCACAGGCTTGCCAGGGCTGGCTTCGAACTGCAAACCTTGTATCTCAGTCTCCTGAGTTGCTAGGATTACAGGCATGAGCCACCAGTGTCCAGTTTATAATAATTATTAATTCAAAAAGAATATTTCTGTTGGGTAGATACAGTATTTAAAATTATTAATATACAAGTTATTAATACACAAATCCATAGGATTTTACAATTTTATTTCTTTCCCTTTTTTACTGGTAAAAGAACTGAGAAACCACATTCAAAAGATGAATAAACAAAGTAAACAAAAGATGAATAAAGGATACTTTCTATTTCCTGTAAGCAAAAAATGATGAAAATTGCTATGAACAAAAACAAAGAAAATGAAAAAGATTGCCAAGCTATTTGTTTTCACTAGATGCAAAGTGCGAAGACATGACTCCAAAGATATGAAGTGAAAGAAAGAAGAGTGAAGAGCTAAATAAAGAACCACCAGACACCTGTTGCTCACACTTGTAAGCCTACCTAGTTGGGAGGCTGAGATCTGAGATCATGGTTCAAAGGCAGTTTGGGCAGGAAAATTCCTGCGAAGGATTGGAGGCAGGTTGTTAAATGGTTAAGTTCAAAAGTCTGCATTATCCAAGGAGATAAAGATACTAACAGATTTGGGGAAACTAAGAATGCATATGACTGGGAAAAGAACAGAAATACTTAAACAGAACTATAAGTGGGAGAAAACTATCAGTGGGAGAATAGGTAAGAAAGAAATGAGTAAGACACATTCTTTTTTTGTTGTTGATGTTGGTCATGGGGCCTGTACTCTAGGCTTGGGTGCTGTCCCTCAGCTCTTCAGCTCAAGACTAGTGCTCTACCACTTGAGCCAATGCCACTTCCAGCTTTTTCTGCTTATGTGGTGCTGAAGAATCCAACCCAGGGCCTCATGCATGTGAGGCAAGCCCTCTACCACTGAGCCACTTTCCCAGCCCAAGATTCATTCTATTTTCACAAAATGTGAATTGTTTGG